ATATGTGTTAAGAGTTGTACAACCATCACTACTGTCCAACTTCAGAATCTTGTCAGCACCCCAAAGAAACCCATTAGCAGTGACTTCCCATTCCACAAATATATTTTCTGTTTCTATGGATTTGCCTGTTCTGGACATTTCATGTCAATGGGATCATACAATATGTTGCTTCATGTGTCTGGCTTCTTAAGAGTAGAATTGCTTGGTCACATGACAGGTCTTTGTTTAAAATTTGAGGAACTGCCAAATTGCTTTTTACAGTGGCAGCATCATTTTGCGTTCCCACCAGCAATGTATAAAGCTTCCAGTTTCTCCACATTCTTGCCCACACTTATCTTCTGTTTAGTTTTTTTGTTTGTTTTTATTGTAGTCATCCTAATATGTCTGAAATTGTATCTTTTTGTGATTTTGATTTGTATTTCCCTAATGACTAATGGTGTTAAGCTTTTTTTCTTTTGCTTATTGGCCAGTTTGTATACCTTTGAAGAAATGTCTATTCGGATTCTTTGCCCACTTTTTAATTGGGTCATTTCTCATTTTGTTGAATTTTAAGAGTTTTTTATATATTCTGGATACTAGACCCTTAACACATACATGATTTTCAACTATTTTTGACCATACTGTGGGTTGTCTCTTCACCTTGGTAGTGACCTTTGATGCACATTTTTAATTTTGATGAAGTCCAATTTTTCTATTTTTTCTTTTGTTGTTTGTGCTTTAGATGTCATATCTAAGAAACCATTGCCTAATCTAAGATCACAAAGATTTATACCTATTTCCTTCTACGAGTTTATAGTTTTAGCTCTAACATTAAGGTCTTTGATTTATTTTGAGTTTTTGTGTATCATATAAGATAGGGGTCCATATTCATTCTTTTGTATATGGGTATCTAGTTGTCCTAGCACCCTTTATTGAAAAGACTATTTTCCAACTGAATGGTTTTGGCACCCTTGTCTAAAATCAGTTGACCATAGATGTATGGATTTTTCTAAACTCTCAGTTTTATGCCATTGAGATGTGTGTGTGTGTGTGTGTGTGTATGTGTGTAAGTGTAATATATATATATATATATAAAATATATGTCATATATATGAGATACATATATGCACATATGTATGTTTATGTGTGTATGTATGTATATATACACACATATACATATACACATACACACATACATATACATATACACATACATATACGTGTGTGTGTGTGTGTATATATATATATGTATATATATGTATGCATGTCTATGCCAGTACTCCACTACCTTGATTACTATAGATTTATAGCAGGTTTTCAAATCAGGAAGTGTGAATCCTCCAACATATTATTTTCAATATTTGGCCACCTTGAGTTCCTTGCATTTTCATATGAGTTTTAGGATCATCTTGCCCATTTCTATTAAAAAAGGAAGTTCAAATTTTGATAGAGATTGCATTGAATTTGTAGACGAATTTGGTAAAGTAGTATATTTTTAAGCATTACAAGTTTCATTCCAATAAACTTTGGAAGCATGTAAAGTTGGAAAAAAAATTTCATGTTTATGATACTTTTTTTAAAATTAGGTAAGTATATAGTTCTTTCTTGGCCTTCCTGGACCATCTGACAGAGTCTTGGAGGTGGACTCGCAGAGCCAGAGGTACCAGCATGCGGCACAGGTCAAAGGAAGGAGTGCTCCTCAGGCTGCTCAGGGAACTCACTGGGGCCAACTCAGGGCCATGGGTCTCCTTCACAGGCCACACAGACTCTGTGTGCACAGCCTTCCTCCTTCAGCACTTGCGCTGAGCGCTTCTGTTGTACGTCGGAACTCCTAAAGCCACACGGATTATAATGGAGGGCTTGGATAAAGATAGATATGATTGCCTCATTCTTGTGAATTTGAAAAAAGAACACCTGGGAACAGATTTCTTACAAGTAGCTGTTTGATATGTTGTTTCTTGAAAAGTTGATGTCATTTTAAGAGTCAAGATTCTCTTGAACACGAAGCTACAAATGGTGGCCAGTTTAGTTGAATTTACATGCTAGCTGGGTTAGGGTTGCTACACTTTTAGATTCTGTGTTTGTATCCACAGCGCTTTTCTCATTTCTTGCTCTTCACCTACTTACCTTCCTAGGTTCCTTATGCAATCACAGACCCGTAAAGGAGGCATGATATTGGCCATGATGAATGACTTGTTTTTATTTTTATCTACAAAATAAAGAAAACAGGAAAAAAGAAAAACCAGTTATCAATAAGTAGGCCAAACTATATACAGACATATAGGTGGAAGTTTAACATAGACTAAATATAATACCCGGTAAAATACATTTTAAGGAAGGAAAATGTACTAAAATTGTAATACTCGCTATATACTGATAAAAAAGATGAATACAAGTCACATTTGACTTCGGCAGTTATAAGAGGTGCTCAAAGAGGTTACCATCAGCATAATTTTAATACAGTTTTCTCCTTTCTTAAAATGTGTATACATTTTTTTGGCACCCTCTGTATATTTGAACTATTATGTTTGGGAGAACACTTAGTTGAGGCAAGTATGAACCCTGATGTTAGCTGTGTGAGAAGAATCACACTACTCCACGGTTGTAGATATCAGAAACTACAATCAGAAATGTCAAGACATTGCCATTTGAACCTATTCAGAGCCAGGGGTGCTACAGAAGTTACCCCAGAGTGTAAGAACTAGCACACTCTGCCAGGCTTCCGTTTGAACATCCAGAGGGGAATTGGTACCTAGGTGAGGAGGAGAAGAATCCTATCTGCAGACCCTAGTGCTAGCCACTCACCTCCAGGCTCTGTCTTTCTGTACGCTGCACTTTGGTCCAGCGGGGTATCCTGAACAGACCCTGTGCCATCCTGCTTCAGGGCCTTTGCCACGGAGGTCCTTTTACCTGGTGAGCCTCATTCATCCCTTTTGCACTTGACAGAACCTATCCTACAATCAAGGCCTAACTCAAAGTAACATTTTCTAAATAACAACCTTCCTGATTTCTCTCTATCTTTGCTCATTACTCCCTTTTCCAAATCCCCTTAAAGTTTCGCAAGTGCTGCACTTGTCATCCAGGCCCTGCTTGACTTGTCAGTTACTAGTCTTAGCTTTGGAGTGGTTGGTGTGGAATTGAACTTTTTTTTATTGCATTATTTTTGTACTGCAACTCAAGGAATCATGTCATAGTTCAACTCTCGCTGTTGGACCGGCTTTTGTAAGGTTATAATATGATTTCTTACTCATTTGTAGCCCACCTTGGTGGATAATAGCATTTCAGGAGTTAATGTTCCAGAATTACTCATTGTCTTGTAACTTTCCTAACAATCTTATTTTTCCCCCTTACAGGAAATGACTTAGAGGCCTTACAATTACATCTGTGCATTCTTGCTTCAGACTTCACAATTGAGGGCCAACCCAGTCTGGAAGCACCTCTTATTAATGTTACAAGGAAACCGCTACCTCAGCAAACAGAAGGCAAGGAGGAGAAGACTTACAATAACAAATGCCATTTTTTTAAAACAAAAGCTTGTTTTCAGAAAATATTAAAGGAAATTTGGAAATTTTTCGCATTGAGAAGAAGCTTTACAGGTAAATGGATTTGGCAGGCAGGCTCTGTCAAAATTCAGCAGAGGTTTGAGCTTCCTTCTTCAGGACTTAGTGTGAAGTAATTCTGTACTACTTTTTAAATCGCTGTTGATCAGCTTGAGGGTTTTTGGGTTCTAACTTTTCTGGTATATTAAAGATACATTATATTACATTTTTTTAAAGTTAAGTTATTTTTCTGCCATGGTAAATACACGTATCAAAATATTCTTGCAAAGCAATTATAGGTAAGCATTTTTCTCAGCAAGCATATCTTTTTATGAAGAGAGTGGAATGCTAACAGCTCTTCTACAGCATTTTGGACACATATTTTTTGTCAGAGGTCATGCCTACACTGAAAATATTAACTATATAAACCTGTTGTCCTCCTCATATCTACGTTGGATCACATGGTCACCTGCCTCATGGAAATGCCTTTTTTAAAGCTTAGATTTTCAGAACTCCACTATTTTTATACCTAGCTACAGTTTGGGGAAAAAAATAAAACAGACTCAGAACCCTGACCTGCTCACGGTCACTGGGACAGTTCCCTCTCCCGTATGTATTGCTGCAGTGCCCAAGACAGCAAAATGGACTACAAGCGGCGCTTCCTGCTTGGCGGGTCCAAGCAGAAGGTGCAGCAGCACCAGCAGTACCCGATGCCCGAGCTGGGCCGAGCACTGAGTGCTCCCCTGGCATCTACGGCCACCACTGCCCCCCTGGGCAGTCTGACTGCTGCAGGCAGCTGCCACCATGCCATGCCCCACTCCACTCCCATCGCCGACATCCAGCAGGGCATCTCCAAGTACCTGGACGCCCTCAATGTCTTCTGCCGTGCCAGTACTTTCCTCACAGATCTCTTCAGCACTGTGTTCAGGAACTCTCACTACTCCAAGGCAGCCATGCAACTGAAGGATGTGCAGGAGCATGTCATGGAAGCAGCCAGTCGGCTGACTTCAGCCATAAAGCCCGAGATCGCCAAGATGCTGATGGAACTGAGTGCTGGGGCCGCAAACTTTACAGATCAGAAGGAATTCAGTCTCCAGGACATTGAGGTAGCGTATCTTGTGTGTCATAGTTGGGTAGGAAAATGTATCCCAGGGGTAAGTGGTTTTTTCCCCAAATCACCATAACGATGGTCTTCATTGATTTTCTGTTGATACTCTCTCCTTATAAAAAATTTGCGCATGCCAAGTTCTGAATTGCTTTCATTTCCGATTAAGTAGGTTAAATGATTATTAAACAGACAAATTTCATATATTTTATGTTTGTTAAATTTTCAAATTGGAACTTAATTTCCAAATAGCATACTGTTAAAAGAACAGGTTAGGGGACTGAGGATTCTAAATATGATTTTGAGCTTTGTGAGTTGACATTAGATAGAACCATTGGTTTGATGTAGAAAGTTCCACACATGGTCACAGGATAAATTATTTTTCCAGTTTTAAATTCACAGCTGTTCATAATTGGATGCATTTGATTCTTATTCAGTACATTTCTTAGGGCCTTTGATAGTCAAAATGAAATACTCTCCCTCTTTCAGGGCTCTAGATTAGAATGTAAGATCAGAAATTTCATTCAGAATAAAGGCAACCTTTTCTCCTTCCTTCATTTAGGAAATGGTTTGTAAAATTGTGATCTGTTATATTAGTGTCACTGATAGATTTTTAAAATTATTTTTAGCTGCTCAGAGAATTCTTCTGAGTTTGAGTTTTCCATTGTGCATTTTAGCAGCACATGCTAGGTTAGGCTCCTGGATGCGAGGAGGAAGTGTGTCATTTTCCCCATACTGGGGCTGAGTTTGATTTTAAGAAATCACCAGTCTCCTGAGCCAAATCTGATGATTGAGGTGGCTGAATAAGCGACTGATGTGGGTTTAGGAAAAAAACAAACAGGTAAACTATTCAGTAATACAACTAATTTTTATTGTGTTTAAAAGTGATTTTGAAGGCATTTCCAAGAGGAATTTAGAATCATTTTTGAAAAGACATAGTATTCTTGGTGTAAATCAGGGATCATCAGACTTTTTCTGTAAAAGGTAAACAGTAAATTTAGGCTTCGTGGGTCACATGTAGTCTCTTATATATTCTTTTTTTTTTTTTTATAACCCTTTAAAAATGTAAAAACTAGTTTTACCTTGTGGACTCGTCTATTGGACTAGATTTGGCCCATGGGCTGAAGTTTGCTGAACCTGCTAGTATAAATATATCACTTCCCTGGGTCATTCTCTTTTTGAATCTATCCAAATATATTTATAATTTCTGGCTGTTTCTATGATCACATTTTATATTCAGGGAAATTATCAACTTGAAATGTTTTTTAAATGACTTGTCATAGTTTATTTTTTAAATGACACATGTGAGGCATATATGTTTTAAAAATGTACTTCTCAAAAGAAATTCAAGCAAAACTGCTTTATTCTCCCACCCCATTCCTTTTCCCAGAAGTGGCCACCATTAACTGGTTGGTACATGCCATTCCAGACTACTGTCTATGTGTGTACAAATATACAGCTTCGGTTTTTGTTTGTTTTAAGTGAAGAACCATGTTGTTCTGCCAACAATGTGCCTGGTCACTACAGACACGTGGCTAGACAGCAGTTAGGGACTCTTAGCCCTCTTAGAAACTGTTGAACAATATTCGATCCAGACTGTTACAGCTATCATCCTGTAATGACATAGCACTTTTAGCTTTATTTAGAATTTTAGGCAAGAGTAGGTTGAAAAAGAAGGCCAGAGGCTTTTCTTTTAACCTGAACATTATTGAGTTCTTCAAGCCATGCATCCAGGTGCTGGGGAAGGCAGAGAGAGCTAGACCTGCTTGGCCATTTGTCCTCCAACTCTGTGGGGCAAGTACCCTTTTTCCCCAAGTCAAGACAACTAGAGGGTGAACCAGCCATGAGGAGTAGGGGTTTAGTAGGCCACCGAGAGGCCATAGCCCCTGCCTTGTCTCTTCTGCTTTCCTGGGACCAGCACAGACCACTTGAGCTGAGAAGGGGACTGTTTCATTATTGTTGTGGTTCAGCATTTTGACTTGGCTTTCCTCCATTGAAATATGACTAGGATAGCTGGAATACTACCATGTTTTTATTCATAATGGTCTAAACAGGATTTCGGAGGCCAGACTGGAAACTAAATGCTGTTGATGGGTTTTAGAATCTATGAGTGTATTCTAAGTTTAAAACAGCTGACTTAGAAGTAACTTCTAAAATGTGATTGCCGGATATAGACCTACAGACTTAACATTTTGCTTTTTTCACAAAGCAGTATTTGTTATTTCTAGAATTTATGTACTGCCACAGGCCAATAAGGGTCTTTCTCAGAATATTCACCAACTCAGAAGGAATGGCTAGGCTTTTGGGTTTTTTCCTGTTGATCTTTTTAGGGATTTATCAGCAAGGCCCTGAGAGGCTCTTTAATATTCATCCCTGGGGAAAGAAGTCTGTAGCCTAACATTGCTGAACTTGACTGGCTAGGCAAGGACTGCTGAGGAGCTTCTTAGCCCAGGACGGTAGGAGAGAGAAGCCCTGAATTCAGTATTCAAATGCTTGACCATTTTAAACCTGTGACAAAGTATCAATGCATCACTGTCCCACCCTGAAGGTGCCCAAAGCATGCTTCTAATGCTCCCTTACTTATGCTCATTGATTGACAGATCCTGGTGCCTGTGTCTAGGAACTGCAGTTGCCCACCATGTGCTTTGGGACAAGGCAGAGTGTGTGCGTCCTGCCCTGTCTGTGCTCATCAGTGACTTTGCCCCTTACCCCAGGTGGTTCACCCTCACAATCTTGCTGTTAGATCAATGAGTTGTGACTGGTGTTTCACTAGTTAACTAGTGCCTGTTATGAAGCATGGAATCAGAATATCTGGCTTTGGAAAATGACTCTGATGCTTACTGTATGGCCTTGAGCAAATCTAACATCTCTGAGCCTTGGCTTGTCCATCTATAAAATGGAATTACCACCTACCTTCCAGAGTTCTTGTGAAGATCAGAAGCAATTGCTGTGTGTGAAACTCTGTACCCAGTTAGTTGTCATTTCCATGTATATTATTACTGCTTCCAACAGTGGGCTTGAAGGGTACCATTAGTCCTTCTCTGAAGTGTAGAACACAGTGTGTACAAAGCCAACATCAGAGAGAAGTGTGCAGAAAATATTCTAACTGGAACTCCTTTAGGTAGACAAAGTTGCCCCTTCCAGAACATTTGCTCTGCTCATTTCTTTCCTGGTTCCTGAGGTAATTCACCTCCCTTTCCCCTCTTGGGTATCTTCTCTTTTGGTGTTGTAAGGTGGCAGCTTTATTACCTGCCTGATGTAGGAACTGCCAGGACCTTTTCAGTATGAAAGCCTGAGAGAACCTCTTCTACCAGTAAGTCACTGCTCTATTTGCCTTGTATCTAAAATGGGGCACGGGGAAGGAAGTGAAGGGGGTGGGGAGATGCTCATTGAATACACTTGCAGTAGTGGGGAACCTTTGGACAAGCCAATTGACAGTTTAGATAGGATTTTTCCCTCACTGGATTTATAGAAAATGGATAGTTTACATTGTGTATGAACTGGAATTTTGTCTAAAATGAGAAATGTGGTCTTAATCAAGTGCTTCATGGGAATTCCTTTATATAAGTCTCACTGACTCCTTTGGCCGTCAGTCCATCCAAAATGTGAAGTCAGGAAAAATATGCTTTCCCATATTGAATTTGTTCTTTGTAGAAAGCTTTGACATCCTACCCAAACATTTTTTAGAGTTGCACTGCACGGGACCTGCTGTCTGTATCTTTTTTTTTTTTTTTTGAGTCTAGGAGCATTTCCACTGGTGGTTTTTACGATTGTGGTGATTCCAAAGTTCTTGTAAAATACCAGGCTACCTGAATTGAGTGGCTGATTTCTTTGATTTTGCCTAGCTCGGTTTCATTTGTCCTAGAAATCTTGTTATTCTTAACTAAGAATCGTTTGCAATTAAAACCTGGTGTTCATTCCTGTAACTTGGTTTTCTGTTTATTAGGAAGTCACAGATGTCCACCACTTTTTACAAACATCTATCAATTGTCTTAAAATTACTTTTAGTGTAAATATAAATAAAAGAATGAACGGACTTGTGATTCATGCATTCATTGCACAAATATTTATTGCATACTTTATTTGTGCCAGGTACTGTTCCAGGCACAGAAGATAACAGTGGTGAACAGGACAGAAATTCCTTCCTTTGTATAGATAAAAGAGGGCTGCAATCTTAGATAAGATAGTTAGAAGGCATCACTTAGAAGATGATCTTTGAGTAAAGACCTGAAGGAGATGAAGGAGTAAGCCCGTTTGATAACCAGGAAAAGAGGACTCCAAGCAGAGGGAACAGCTAGTGCAAAGTCCCTGAGGCAGAAGTGACCCTGACTGTTGGAAGACCTGTTGTGGCTGAAATAGTGAACCAGAGGGTGAGTACTAGGGGTGAGGTCAGAAAGGTAAAGAGATCAGCCTTTGCAGGGAAGGTGAAAGGAGGGCAGGAACAGGAGATGCCATCGTGCAGTGAGCAGTGATGCTATGTCTCCCCTTGCTTTCTTCATCCTTTGGCAGCCCCGGGGCTCTGGCTTCAAGATGGGGCCTCACTGTTTTGGGAGGCCTTGGCCCCCTGGGCAGGTGCTCCATACAGGCATTCTTGAAGCCCAGGTCAGCTACAAGGCTCCCAGGAATTTTATGTCTTTAAGGGTACTATATTTTATATCTCCCAGCATTTTAGTGGTTTTCCAAGTATCACCACCTTGTAAATGGACAGGCCAACTTTAAATAAAATCTTTATGTCATTGAACCTTGGCTTTCAGTTTGATGCACTAACAAATGTCTTTTGTATACTATGTGATTACTATGAAGCTGAAATAATTTATTTGTGAGCGCCGACTGACTCTTAAGGACCTTAATTCAGGCATATTGACATTTATTTGGGATAGATATATGCCAAAAATACTGTAGAGCAACAGTAATGGAAAATATTAGAAGCTGGTTTCAAAATGTGGTTTTCATTAACCTTAATGGAATTAAACTTGCATACTTTTTTTTTTTTTTTTGCCT